CCATGGTATATTCAACACTCTTTTCCAGAACCACAGCTCAAAGGCATCAATTCTCCTCTTATCATCCCTAGTCATCACTGTCCAGCTCTCCGATGCGTAGCATGCAATTGAGAAGATCATAGCCCTGATCAGGTGCACCTTAGTCTTTTAATTTTCTGGCTGCTGGTTCCAGTAGTGTTGATTGTAGAGCCAAGCAAATAGAAGCTGTCAACAATCTCAATCTCTTCACCATTTATCATGATGCTGCCAATCAGCCCAGTGCTGAGAATCTGTTTTCTTGATATTGAGTGTCAATCCATATTGAAAGCTGCAGTCCTTGACATTTTGCATTCAGTTAGATGACCCTTCTTGGGAATAGGAACAAATATAGATCTTTTCCAAACCATTGGCTGTCCTCCAAATTTCCTGGCATAGACTGCTGAGTGCATCCAAGGCTGGATCTGTTAATTGAAACAAGTCAATTGAATTTCATTGATTCCTGGGGCTTTATTTGTTGCCAATGACTTGAATGCAGTTTCCACTTTCTTTTTCATTACCATTGGCTCCTGTGTTAATCAATTCTTTCTAATACAGTGACTCTGTATTTCCTCCATCTTCTTTTGATGTTTTCTAGATTATTCAATACATTACCCATAGCATCTTTCAACATTGCCACAAGAGGCCTAAATTTGTTTTTCAGTTCTTTCCGCTTGAGAAATGCAATTTGAATTTACACAAATGTAAATGATGGTATGATCCACAGTCTGCCCTCGCCTAGTTTTTATGGCTGATAATTGAGTTTCTTCAATGATTCTTTCCAAAGATGTGTTGTTATGTTGTTATTAAGTGCCATCGAGTCAGAGGCTACTCATAGTGACTCTATGAACAAAAGTCCTGGACACCTGTATAACTTTCGTCCTTTCTCCAGATTCATATGGTTTCCAGAGGCAAGCTATTACAGAAGTGGATGCCACTCCTGCTTCCAAGCTTGTTTCAATTGGGGAGCTCCACCAAACACTGTCCACCACCATGGGTATTCACCCAGTAAATTCCCTAGTTCTTATAAGCCCAAAGGCAAAAACAGCTCTTCCTTGGGCCTATCCAGGTAATCTACTTTCTGCTGCAATTTTCCTAAGGGCGAAGTGCCTTTCCTGGGCTTCCGTGGACTTGCTACTTGGCTAGTTTATAAATCAGGTAAGTATTCAAATGACATTAGAACTTACATAAAAAATAAAAATGGAACTACGTTTGCTGCCACAGATCCTACCAAAGTCTTCGTAAACTTTCATTAAAATTAATAAATAAAAAACTAAATAAAAAAGAACTAAAAATTTAAAAAATTACACATTTTAAGCTTCAAGGCAGTCTATAGATTGAACAAGTTTGCTGTTATGTGCCATCAAGTTGCTTGCAATTCTTAATAACCCTATGTACAACAGCTCTGAACCCTGCTCTATCCTGAGCCCACCTCATTGTCTCTGACACATCTACCCCCATTACCCCAGCCACTGAGTCAATCCATTTTATTGAGGGTCTTCCCCTCCTATGCTGTCCCTCCAGCCCCCCAAGCATGACTTCCCTCTCCAAGGGCTGGTGTTTCTTTACAATAAGCCCAAAATATGTCAGATGAAGCTTCAGAATCCTTGCCTCCAAGGAGCAGCCTGGTTTTATGCTCTCTAGGATGAATCTGTTTGTTCTCCTAGCAATCTATAGTAATATTCAATACTCTTCTCCAGCTCCACAGTTCAAAGGCATCAATTCTCCTTCTATCATCCTAATCAGTCTTATGCATAGCAAATAACTGTGAAGACTATGACCTGGATCAGGCATGCCTTAGTTTCCAGACTGACATTGTTGCTCTTCAGTACTCTGGAGATGTCCCTGACAGCTGACTTTCTTAATGCAAGGCCTTCAACAAGTATGTGAAAAAAATTCTGATGCATGCTTTTTCTGAATTTAAACCACACAATAGCCCTATGTTCTGTTAGAACAGAACTTTGGTCTGTGTACAGGATCTTTTTGGCCTGTGTACAGGTTCCACGTGAACAAAACTAAGTATTCTGGAATTTTCATTCTTCACAATGTTATCTATAATTTGTTATGATTAACACACTCAAATGTCTTTGAGTAGTCATTAAGATACAAGTAAACACCTTGCTGGTATTTGTTCTTTAAACAAGATCCATTTAATGTAATAACTTTCATTCCACATCCTCTCTGAATCCAGCTTGAATTTCCAGAAGTACTCAATATGTTGTCAATATGATGACACAACCAATTTTTAATTGTCTTCAGCAAAATGTTATTTGCATGTGATATTAATGCTATTGTTTGGTAATTTTCACATTCTGTATTACCTCAACTCTATGATAGAGTCCAGTAGAATCTGGGAAAGGTGAGTGAGTAAGTTCATTGAAGCCATTGATTCCATTTTGCTGATCTCCTGACCTTACCTAAATACATGTTCCAGGAAATAGTAAATAATCTGATTACTGTTCATCCCTAGGCATGGTTTTATGACCTGCCCCAGGAAGTAGCTGATGGCTAAGACCAGGTGTGGTGGAAAATGGAAAATCCAGGCCCTTAAAACTGCTGTAATTATTGCAATATGGAAGGCATGGAGTTCGAATCCACCAACAGGAGAAAGATGGACAGTCTCCTCCTATGTAATTAACTGCCTCTGAAAATTCGCTGGAGGGTCAGCTATGGTTGGTTCCAACTCGGTGATACAAAAAAAAACAATCTTAGGGAGGTGTACAGAAAAACCCATTGATGATTCTTCTCTAGTAGTTTAAATTCACCAGTGGCTCCATGGACTATCTCCTTCCATGTGATTTATAGCCTCTGAAAATCTGCTATTACCTAAGGGTTGGTCCCAACTCAAGTTGCAGTAATTAAATATTATAAGATTACACAATAAATGTTCAATAAATTTTATTCCTACTTTCTCTCTGAACAACAACAAAAAACAACAAAAACCTGCTGTAATTAGTTCCAATCAGCCAAAGTAGAATGGATAAGTGCTGCATTAAGCCTCACTGGAATGTAAAATTGAGCATGTCTTTTAAATAAAGCTTATTTTAATATGTTGTTATTATTGTGTACCATTGAGTCACCTGCCACTCATAGCAACCCTATGTACAATAGCTCTGAACTCTGCTCTATTCTGAACCAACCTCACTGTCTCCAACACATCTACCACCATTATCCCAGTTATTGTCTCTATCTCATCTGAAGACTTCCTCTCCTGTGCTGTCCCTCCACTCTTTCAAGCATATCCTTCTCCAAGGACTGGTCCCTCCCGGCCACATGCCCAAAGTATGTGAGACAGAGTTTCAAAATCCTTGCCTCCAGGAAGTAGCCTCTCCAGAATAAACCTGTTTAGCCAGGTTTTACTTTTGCCATTTTTTCATGTTTATTTTTCTGTTGTTTCTGATTACAATGGTCCATGCATTTTGCTTTGGCATCTCCATGTGAAGGACTTCACCTAAAATTTCCTGTAGTTTTGGCCTGACAATGATAACACTTAATATGAATGGACTAAACACATCATTTAAGAGAAAAAGAGTAGCAGAATGGATAAAAAACCCTAAAGCCCATCAATCTGTTACCTAAAGAGACACATCTAAAAAATGAAGAAAAAGACTCAAAATCAAAGGCTGGAAAAAAATATACCTAGCAAATGACAACCTCAAAAAAGCAGGAGTGGCAATATTAACCTCTGATAAAATACATTTCAAACTGAATACTGATTAAACGCACAATAGATCAAGAAGACATAACTTTGATCAACATTTATGCACCAAATGATAGACCTGCATAGTATATAAAACAATAGTTAACAGCATTTAAGAAAGAAATAGCACCACAAAGATGTTAGGAGATTTCAGGATAAACCTGTTTGTTCTCTTGACAGTCCATGATATGTTCAATACTCTTCTCCAGAACTGCAACTCAAAAGCATCAGTTCTTCTTCTGTCCTCTTTGGTCATTGTCCAGCTCTCTGACGCATAGCAAATAATTTCAAAGACCATGGCCAGAATCAGGCACACATTAGTCTCCACACTCACATCTTTGCTCTTCAGCACTTTTGAGAGGTCCCTGATAAGCAGCCTTCCCCAAAGCAATTTGTCTTTTGATTTCCTGACTGATGGTGTCAAGAGTGTGGACCTCAATCTCCTCTCCATCTATCATTGGCCCAGTGGTGAGAATCTTTGTCTTCTTGATGTTGAGCTTCAATCCATACTGAAGACTACAGTCCTTAACCTTCTGCAACACATAGTTCAGATCCTCCTCAGTTTCTGTGAGCAAGGTTGTATTATTTGCATTGTTGATGAGTCTTCCTCCAAACTTGATATCACATTCTTCCTCATAAAATCCAGCCTCCTGAATGATCCGTACTCAACCAACAGTGCTTCTGGACTTCATAGTGAGTTTGGACATCTTAGTGGGGAGCCAGAGAAAGGAAAATTCTCAACAAGATAAGTTGACACAGTGTAGCAATGGGCTCCAGGGGGTAGAGATCATAAGAATGGTGCAAGACAGGGTGAAGTTCTAATCTGTTGGTCATCGGGTCGCTATGAGTTGCCGTCTTCTCAAAGGCACATAACATTAGTCAACAATAGATTCAAAACAATGTTGTTAGGAGGAAAAAAAAACAAGCAAACTAGTACTCACTTTGGCAGAACATATAAAAAAATTGGAATGACACAGAAAATTAACATGGCCCCTGCACAAGGATGACAAAAATTTGTGCAAAAAAACCCTAAACAAACGAAAAGCCCAAATTCATGTTTTTATCAATAGAATATACTTTCTAGACAGGAAACTGAGTCATACTTCAGATAGGAGTGGTATGAAAAGGAGCCTCTTGAATTCCATTTATGATTATTTTCATATACTTTCTGAATTCTCTTTTAGATAGTCTAATCCAAATAGAACCATGCCCTCTGGACAAGAAAAATGAGACATGGCAGACTAAAGATTACAGGAAAACATAATCTCTTTTTGTCCTCTCCTCTTTAGGTAAGAATATGAGAACTCAGCCACCCTTGAGCAAGATGAGCAGGGAGGAATTGGAAGACAGTTTCTTCCGACTCCGTGAGGAACACATGTTGATGAAGGCACTTTCTTGGAAGCAACAGGATGAGATCAAAAGGTACCTCAAGTTCTCCTTAAGTATTTAAAAACTGGAGCTATAAAAGGCATACACAAAAAATAAGTTTAAAAAGTTATTTTTTTAAGCTATATTGCTTTGTTCTCTTTTCCTGCTAAAAAATATCAACAGACTGTGGTCATAAAAGCATCATAAAAAACCTGGGCACTAGTGTTTCATGCTTCAGAGCAGGAGACTAAACTAATTTATGTGAACCCTTTCTTTCATTTGGTTTTTGCCCTTGTTCAAAAGTTTGAGGATTCCAGAGAGGAAATGGTCAGGAACCATATTGACTGCTCAAGAATGT